CCATCCAAATTTTCCACTTTTTCCAATGGCTAAATCCTACCTGTTCTTCAAGGTTCAGCCCAAGAACCAAATCTTCCATAGAAATCCTGCTTTTTTAGAATTCTAGACTCTCAGGATTAGAAGAGGAGAGGCTTCCACTCTGGCTTCTCTTTCTCATGAAGGCATTGGTAACTAGTGCTATGGGCATTTGGTTTGCTCTTTGATTCTATGAGCCTCATTTTGCAACCAGACTGTCAGCTGTGTGAGGGAGAGAAAATTCCTCAATATTCTCACTGTCTCTACCCCTGCACTTGCCCCAGCCACACCATATTATCCAGTGAAATAATTAAAGGGGAATGGTGACTGACTTTCTTCTTTCTGCTCCTCTATCTTTAACTCATCACTTGTCCCATTTCTCTTTTCTTTATAATTTGTTCAATACTTTCTGAGCTTTTACCATATCACCTTCTTGGTTGCTCATGGTAACCCTCTGAGCAAGATATTAGCTTTCCCAGTTTACAGAGAAGAAACAGGATCAGGGAGGCTGAGTGACTTGCTCAAGGATATGAAGCAGGGGATCTAGCATTTGAGCTCATTATACCTCAAAAGCCCAGGATTTTCCCATTCACTCCCTGACCTCCCTAAATTGTGTTTTTCTTATCCAGATCTTATTCTCTCCTTTAGGAACAAAGCCAGAGGTAGGTGCAGGCCTGTGCCAAGCTGTACTTCCTGTGTGATCATGTCCACTTGCCATGTGGGCTACCCCCATGAGTACTTCCTGGTACAATAGAATCAGTCGGTTGGGATGACTTAGTCATTGTTTCTTTCTTCTGTTTTAGTCCCAGAAATCTGCACTGCATTTTAATGATGAGAAAGAGAGTGGAAGAATGACCCAGAGTTAGTCTTTTTTTTTTTTTTTGGTCAAAGGCTCATACATTTACATATAAATGAAAAGCAGAAGGATATTTAAATTGTAGAAAGGGGAAAATAGCTTACTGTCAAGGAGAGACTTCTATGTGATGCACAGAATATCATTTTGGAGCGAGAAGGAAGGTTGCAGGTCATCCATCCAAACCTCTGTTCACAGAGGCAACTCCGGGCAGACAGAATGGAACTTACCCAAGGTAAGTTGCTCTGCCTCCATGCAGCCTTAATACTCTAAGTAACCTTCCCTCACACACCAGTTCTTTACAGATACTGTTTTTGCCTCTCTGGTGGTGACTTTTGCTTCTCTAGCAGGTGGGATAATAATGAATGTAGAACACCTGGACTGTTCTGCTTGTAGATATACTTTAGCAGCCTTCATTGGCCTCATTGTTATGACTGGACATCATGGTATTTACTAAAAGATGTCTCAAGCCCACTTCAGAAAGATCATATAGGCCAAACACTTCCGCGTGTACAATTATGTCATTTATTAACTCCTTCCTGGCTTACACCCCTTTCATTATTATACCTTTACAATTTTTATGAATTGATAGGTTTTTTAAAAGATTTATCTTTGCTGGCGCCATGGCTCAATAGGCTAATCCTCCGCCTGTGGCGCCAGCACCCTGGGTTATAGTCCCTGTCGGGGCGCCGGATTCTGTCCCGGTTGCTCCTCTTCCAGGCCAGCTCTCTGCTGTGGCCTGTGAGTGCAGTGGAGGATGGCCCAGGTCCTTGGGCCTTGCACTCGCATGGGAGACCAGGAGGAATCACCTGGCTCCTGGCTTCGGATCAGTGCGGTGCGCCGGCCGCAGTGCACCAGCCGCAGCGGCCACTGTGGGATGAACCAACGGAAAAGGAAGACCTTTCTCTCTGTCTCTCTCTCTCACTGTCCACTCTGCCTGTCAAAAAAAAAAAAAAAAAAAAAAGATTTATCTTATTTATTTGAAAGGCAGAGTTACAGAGAGAGGGGGAGAGAGAGAGAGAGATTGATCGATCGATCGATCGATCTATCCTCTGGTTCACTCCCCAGATGGCTGAAGTGGCCAGGGTTGGGTCAGGCTACAGCCAGGAGCCAGGAGCTTCATCTGGGTCTCCCACATGGATGCAGGAGGCTCAGGACTTGGGCCATCTTCTGTTACTTTCCCAGGCACATTAGCAGGGAGCTGTGTCAGAAGCAGAGCAGCTGGGACTGGAACTGGCATCTCTATGGAATGCCGGCATTGCAGGTGGTGGCTTAAACCATTAACACCACAGGGCCAGAAAAGCAGTAGAAGATGGCCTAAGTCCTTGGGCCCCTACACCTGTGTAGGAGATCCAAAAGAAGCTCCTGGCTCCTGGCTTTGAATTGATGCAGCTCCGGCCATTGCGGCCAATTGGGGAGTGAAACAATGGATGACAGATGGAAGACTCTCTCTCTCTCCCTCTCTCTGCGTAACTCTGACTTTCAAATAAATAAATAAATAAATAAATAAATATTACTAACGCCATGACATAGACTCCCTGGATTGCTAGTTTTTTTCCATCCGCTGTTCACTCCTCAATTGGCCACAACGGCCAGAGCTGTGCCGATCCAAAGCCAGGAGCCAGGAACTTGTTCTGGATCTTCTACACAGGTGTAGGGGCCAAAGGACTTGGGCCATCCTGTGTTGCTTTCCCAAGCCAGAGCAGAGAGCTGGATCAGAAGTGGAGCAGCAGGGACTTGAACCAGCACTAATATGGGATGCCGGCACTTCAGGCGGTGGCTTTACCCGCTATGCCACAGCGCTGGCCCCTAGATTGCTAGTTTTTATAAAGAGTAAAGATTGGTGTTTATCTTCCAGGGGCCCATCAGATAATCCTAACTTTGTCCCATTGGTTTTTGATGGTCTATGGAAATCATTTCAATGAATCAGTACATAAAAACCAATGTCTTGGGGCCTGTGCTGTGGCATAGCAGGTAAAGCCACTGCCTGCAATGCAGACATTCCATATGGATACCAGTTCGAGCCCCAGCTGCTGCACTTCCCATCCAGCTCTCTGCTATGGCCTGGGAAAGCAGTAGAAGATGGCCCAAGTCCTTGGGCCCCTGCACCTGCGTGGGAGACCTAGAAGAAGCTCCTGGCTCCTGGCTTTGGATTGGCTCAGCTCTGGGTATTGCGGCCCCCTGGGGAGTGAACCAGTGGATAGAAGACCTCTCTCTCTCTGCCTCTCTCTCTCTCTCTCTGTAACTCTGCCTTTCAAATAAATAAATAAATGAATCTTAAAAACAACAACAATGTCTTGATCAGGGACTTCCTAATGTATAGGGAGCAGGGGTATTGCTCCATTATTCTGATTCCCTCTAACACCCAGTGTTTGTTCATTTGTCCAGTCAAGGTCAAGAAAATTGTATCAACTTCCAAGTAAGTGTCAGGGGCTCTCCAGAGCTTTGGAACTGAATGACAAATGCCGCCACAGAATGCACCTATCTTCCTGGAATTTACAGACCAAGAGAAACTCCAAAACTACATATATTCTGCATAGCATTAAAAAGTTTTGCTTTGCTCAGATAATCTATCAAATTATATCCAAACCACAAGAGAATTTTCCTAAAGAGATGAGAGAAGGTGAAAAAAACACCAGATGACAATATCTATAGATAAATAAATAGAAATGTTATCATCATTTACTATTCGTTATCTAGCTGTTCATTATCAAAGAAGAGAACCGCACGCCAAATTAATGAGTTGAGTTTGTCTTGTAGCTCACTAATCAGATCAACTCACACTAAAATTCTGTTTCAGTGCTCTTAATCTTAAGGTTCCTCCTAACAAATCTCTAATCCTTCCAAAACGTATGATTGCTCTTGTTTTATACTTGAAGAAACAGGGCTGGAACAGCCAAATCACTGTTTAAAGTTACCTTGACTTCAGGAACATGTGGTTGCAGGGCCTGTGCTATTATTTCTCTACTCCCTTCTCAGTCATTGGCATTTGGGGGGCCAGGGTACACAAGTAACATAACCTGCCTACTTTTAATAATTATCTCTATACAGTCTTGCCACTGATTTTTTAAACAGAATTTTGAAAAGGAAGATGTAACCTTGACATCTAAGAAGATAATCAAGAGGATAGAGCCCTCTTCTAACAACACTGCATTTACTCAAAACCATTTTGGAGCAACATTTGGCAACTGAGTTTGGGAAAGGAATTCAGACTGGGCAGCACATTCAGTTGAATATTCATAAGGATAACATTGTGCATGTGCTTTAAATTTTAGAAAATAACCAAGTCATTGAAATTCATGTCTCACAAAGAGGTCAAGCTAAGTAATGTGGTTATGAATTTTTTAAAGGTGTGGGTATATGAGTTAGAGCGACTTGAAAGTCTGTGTGTGTGTGATTTTGAAGTCATTGACAACACGTCACATTGGAATGTTCATTTGGACATACAAGGATTTTAAAAGTTATCATTTCATATGGTTAGCCTTCCTGCTCAATAATATTTGTGGAGTGAATGATCTGTTCATCCTACAGCCCCTTACTATGTTGCACATTTTCTACATGATAGAGTTTCAAAGGTGAAAATATCAAGACTTTTTTTTTTTTAAAGATTTATTTATTCATTTGAAATGCAGAGAGAGAGAGAAAGAGAAATTTTCTGTCTGCTAGATCACTCTTCAAATGCCTGCAACAGCTGGAGTGGGCTAGGCTGGAGTTAGGAGCCCAGAACTCCACTCAGGAATCCCATGTGAATGCAGGCACTCAAGCACTTGAGCTGTCTTCCACTGCCTTCCCAGGTGCGTTAGCAGGAAGCTGGATTAGAAGCAGGGCATCCAGGAGTAGAACCGCAGGCTTAACCTGCTGTGCCACAATGCCCACCCTAGGGTTTTTGCTTTTGAAATCACAGGCTAATGCAGGAAATAAACACTTCATTAGAAAACAGTGTAGTAGTTTGCTAGTAAGATATACAAAGTGGTGGTATATAAGTCTCATGTGTCTTCTGAACTGTAAAATTATGCAGCTTGATGAATGTGAATCTACTTACAGGGACAAAAAGGAAAATAATTGACTTGATCATTTTAAAAAGGATATGCAGAGTTTTACCAAGAAAAGAATATTCCGGAACACTAACAAAATGGCCTGAGAATTCCTCTCAGAGTTGACAGTGTTCTGACAATGCCTTGGTGCTTCTGGTTGTCTAGACATTCCTTCCGTTCCGCACAATTGCTGACTGACTAGTGATGTGAAAGAGAGAAGCATCACCTTCTTTGACAACACAAAACCACGAGCTCCAATGTTCAGCACCAGAAGGAAACAAACAGTCCACAATGTGGGTGAGTGTTGCTTCAATCTTTGCCCCTGGGGGTTCTGTCTCCTTGGGAGCCTTCCTACTGGGCTAGTGCGCTCTTCTAGTGTTAACCTCTCCCAGATGAACACTCTGGTTCAAGTTGGTTGGAAACATTTGTTTCTTTTCCTGAGGTCTGCTGAAATTTCTTCATTTTTTCCTCACACAACTGAGTAGATATGGGAACCATAATTGTTTGTTCAGCAGTGGGGGTGATGGAGGGTGGCAGAGATGCAGCTCACAACTGGGTATCTGCTTCAAAGCCAGGGGAGGCATTCTAGCCATTGTCATAAACTCCCCTGCAGTCAGAAGGGATTCATAGTGATGATTGCTAACCCTAATTCCATGATCTCATTTGCAGTGAGTTCAATGAACAAGACCTTCTCTCTCTCTCTCTCTCTCTCTTTTTTTTTTTTTTCAAAAACAGTAAACAGCAACTGGTGCTGTTTTCTTACTGCCAGCCAGTCAGCCCATGGCCAGTTTGTGTCTACTATATTCTTATCCATTCCCCTTCTTGCTACCACTGGGTTATTTTGAAGTAAATCCAAGATGTCCGCACTAGCACTGTGGGATAGCAGGGTAAGGCTGCCCCCTGCAGTGCCAGCATCCCATATAGGCGCCAGTTCAAAACCTGGCTACTCCACTTCTGATCCAGCTCTCTGCTATGGCCTGGGAAGGCAGTGCAGGATGGCCCAAGTCCTTGGACCCCTGCACCCATGTGGGAGATCCAGAAGAAACTCCTGGCTCCTGGCTTTGGATCAGCTCAGCTCTGGCCATTGCAGAAATCTGAGGAGTGAACCAGTGGATGGAAGATCTCTCTCTCTCTCTCTCTCTCTCTCTCTCTCTCTGCCTCTGCCTCTTTGCAACTCTGTCTTTCCAATAAATAAATAAATCTTTAAAAAAAGACAGAGATAGATCAGTGGTCTAGGCATTAGAGCCTGATCTGTACATGTTAAATATCCTGTCAGCTTTTTACCTAATATTTTAGCAACCATTTCTGGTCATTTCCAAGATCTACTACTTCATTAGGATTATGGATTGAATGTTTGTTTCCCCTCAGAGTGTGAATGTTGAAACCCTAATCACCGATGTGATAGTATTAGGAGGTAAGGCATTTAGGTAATTAGGTTTAGATGTCTCCAGAACTATGAGACAAAACTGTTTTTTTGTTTAAGCTACTGTGTAGTATTTAGTTATGGCAACCCATTCTTTATGCATTTATTAATAGTGGCATATCTTTTATTTGTTTGTTAAAAAGATTTATTTATTTATTTATTTGAATTGCAGTTACAGAGGGACAGCAGGAGAGAAAGAGAGAGAGAGAGAATCTCCCATCTGCTGGTTTACTTCCCAAATGTTCACAATGGCCAGAGCTGGACTGACTCAAAGCAGGAGTCTGGAACTCCAACCAGATATCCCACTTGGATGGTAGGGGCTCAAGTACTCGGGTTATCATCTGATGCTTTCCCAGGCGCATTAGCCAGGAGCTGGATCAGAGGTGACTTGATCCAGTGCTTCCATGTTGGATGCTGGCATCACATGTGGCATTTTATTGCACAATGCCAGGTCCTAGTAGAAGTATTTCTATTAAGAAATACTTTCCCTCACCAAAAATGTGTTTGTACTCTGGTTCAAATTGTATAAGATGAATGCTTGGGGGCCAGCATTGTTGCCTGGCCAGTAAAACTACTGCCTGTAACGCCTGCATACCATATGGGTGTCAGTTCATGTCCTGGCTCCTCTACTTCCAATCCAGTTCTCTGCTAATAACCTGGAAACAGCAGAAAACAGCCCAAATGCTTGGTTTCTGTATCTACTTGTGAGATCTGGGTGAAGCTCCTGACTCCTGGCTTCAGCCTGGCTCAACCCTGGCAGTTGCAGTCAACTGGTAAATGAACCAATGGATGGGAAATCTCTTTCTATGTCTCTCCCTGTCTTTCGGTAACTCTTTCAAATAAATAAATCTTAAAAAAGAAAAAGAACACTTAATTCTTATATTTACCAGCTTTCAAAAAAAAATAGGTGGCTTCTTATTATCCTCCAAAAGTAAACAATGAGGTTTTATTTATTTATTTATATTTTTAAATTTTTTACTTGAAAGGCAGAGAGAGAGAGAGAGAGAGAGAGAGAGATCTTCTATCTGTTGGCTCACTTTTTTCCTCTGGACAGAGCAAAGAAATACATATCTTTTTCTTTTAAAGAAAATATACTTGAATTAAAAATCAAATGAGGTTAAGGAGTTTTTACATAACTTTTTGGATTTCATATTTATATTTCTTGTAAAACCAAAAACTTAGTTCCTAATGACATCAGCCTCATTACTTATTTTGCTTCATCTATACATACAGATATATGCAATAACATTAGAATGCCAGTACCAATATTATTAGTAACAATGCAATGCCTCATAACAGTTGAAAGGTTCTTTATAATTCTTTCTTGCAGATGTATACATCTTAGACATGTATAGTCAAATTATTGTATAGTTACTGTTACTTGAAATGGTATCTCTCTGTGGTTAAGCCATTAACTCTATTCACAGATTCCATATCTCATTTTGCTTTTGACTTTTAGGGGCTGCTTGTCAATGAATATTTAATTCAGATAAGGGTGGGTGAATTTTTTCTTTCAACTCTAAATGTATCATTTTTCTCTTGTTTGCTTAGTTTGTGAAGAAAGTTTGTTGTACTTCATCTCCTTGTTCTTCATAGGTAGGGTGGTTTTTCCCCCTTTGAATTCTTTCAACAAATTTTTTCCTTCTTGTGTTTGGTTTTCTGCAATATGAATATGATATATCTAGGTGTGGAATTTTTTATATTTATATTTGACATACACACAGAGAGATCAGTTGATCAATTGATAGATAGATAGACAGATGTTTATATTGCTTTGGGTTCTCTGAGCTTTCTGGATCTGTGGTTTGGTTTCTAGAATCAATTGCAGAAAACTCTTGGGCCATTATCATTTCAATTATTTCTTCTACTTTATTCTCTTTCTTTTCTTTATGATATTCCAGTTACTCATGATACATCTTTTATTTACATATTTATTAAAGATTTATTTATTTATTTGAAAGGCAGAATTATAGTGAGGCAGAGGCAGAGAGAGAGGTCTTCCATCTACTCGTTCGCTCCCCAGATGGCAGCAACAGCCGAAGCTGCGCCGATCTGAAGCCAAGACCCAGGAGCTTCTTCCAGGTCTCCTACCCGGGTGCAGGGATCCAAGCACTTGGATTATTCTTAGCACCCTTAGTTGAGACACAAAGGCTGTGGAAGGCTGAATTTGAGTAATTATTCTTGTGTTGAGGTGACAGAAGGCTTTGGTAAAATCTTTCCCACTGCAATATAGTCTTTTGCTATGGAGAACACTCAGTGCATATTTAAAATGGTTATATCCCAGCACCACCTTTGACAGAGGGAATTTTTCCTGGCTCTTCACCATGGAAAACTGTGTGCATGCTCCCTTAATGCTGTTGTTTCTAAGAGTTTCTCATTCATTCTAATACTAGTCTTACTCAGCCTCCAGTGACTGGTTCAAACCACTGTTTAAGAGTTCCTACCAGTTTATGGCTCTAGCAACTAAGCTATGATTCTCTGTATTCCTCTATCTCACCAAACAGGCAGATCTCAATTCTCTGATGGATCCAAAAGAAGTTGTTGATTTTTCAGTTTGCTCAGACATTTTTCTTGTTGTAAGTATGAGAGTAATGTCTTCCAAACTTTTCACATACTGGAGCTACAATCCTAAGTCCCAGCACATTTGTTTTTAATGTATTTGAAGTCATTTTATGTCCTGGTTTGTATATTGATATTAAAGAAAATCCTTCATTTATCATGTTCCATCTTACAAAAATTTTTTATGGATTTATTTGTGAGGCAAAGAGACAGAAATAGACAGAGACAAAGATCTCCCATCTTCTGGTTTACTTCCCAAATGCCCACAACAGCCAGGATGTGCCAGGCTGAATTCAGAAGCCAAGAACTCATTACAGGTTTCCCATGTGGGTTGCCTTCCAGGGTGCATATTAGTGATTGCTTTATAAAAAGTATGCCTTTTGTAGGTGACATTTGAGTGAAAGAAATGTGGAAACCCGTTATGTGGTTATCTGGGCAAGAATGATAGAGATATAGACTTTGAGATGCGAGCTTGTATAGTGCTTTTTTTTTTTTTTTTTTTTAAGATTTTATTAATTTGAAACAGAGAGTTAGAGGGAGAGAGGAAGATTTCAAGAGAGAGAGTGAGAGAGATTCCATCTGCTGGCTAACTCCCTAATTGGCTGCAATGGCCTGGGCTGGGCCAGGCTAAAATCAGAAGCCTAGAACTCCATCTGGGTCTCCCACATGTGTGTAGGGCCTCAAATACTCAGGCCATCTTCCACTGCTTTCCCAGGTGCATTAGCAGGGAGTTGGATTGGGAAATGGAACAGCTGGGACTCCAAATAGCACCCATATGGGATGCTGGCATTGCAGGCAGCAACTTAACCTGCTGCATCACCATGCTGGCCCCAAAACAAACTCTTAACCAAGAAGAATCTATCAGAATCTTGCAGAAAATTAATGATGAAACTTTATTACACTATATTTTCACTTCCATTCAACATTCTGAACACTCTAGACAATGTAATAAGACATGAAAAAGGATAGAAGGTATAAGAATTACAAAGAAGTTTCAAAACGGATCTTATTTTCAATCAAAATTTTTGACTACACAGGGAATCTATAAACTACAAGCATTAACCAGAGTCACTGACAATTGCTGGATACAAGATAACAAAAAAAGCAAAGTCAATTGTGTTTCTATGTACTAGTAATAAGCAAATTGCAATTGCAAGAGAGATAATGATATCTCATCAACAATGGAATAAAACTATGAGGTGCCAGAAACGAATCATAGCCACTAGAGCAGCAAATTAAATATAGATGCTCCTTGGCTTACAGTGAGGCTATGTCCTAACAAACCCATTTTGAGTTGAAAATTCTGTATATCAGAAATTCATTTAATACAACTAACCAACTGAACCATTGCAGCTTGGCAACACAGTATGCTGAGAGTATTGCTTGTTCCCCCTCATGATCCTATGGCTGCTGGGAGTGTTTGCCACCAACTTCTCAGGATCTCAAGAGAGTGGGATTGCATATTGCTAGTTCAGAAAAATATCAAAATCCAAAATTTGAAATACAATTGCTACTGATCACATATTGCTTTTGTACCATCGTAAAGTTGAAAATTGGAACCATTGTAAGTTGGGGACTGTCTATAGTTAGCAATTTAAAAGATTGGAAAGAATGTGGATAAATGGGAACTTCTATACACTAGGGACATGAAAGTACTTTAATACAACTATTTTGTCAAAAAATTTGAGAATCTTAAAAAATGAATATGTGTAAATCTTTCTTTAAAAAAAAAAAAGATTTATTTACTAACTTGCTAGGTAGAGCTATAGACAGAGAGAGAGATCTTCCATCACTGTTTCGCTCCCCAAATGGCTGCAATAGCCAGGGCTAAGCCGATCTGAAGCCAGGAGCCAGGAGTTTCTTCCAGATCTCCCATGCAGGTGCAGGGGTCCAAGCACTTGGGCCATCTTGTACAGCTTTCCCAGGCCATTAGCAGAGAGTTAATTCAGAAGAGGAGCAGCCAGGACACGAACTGGTGCCCACCTGGGATGCCAGCACTGCAGGCAGAGGCTTAGCCTACTATGCCACAGCACTGGCCTTGCAAATCTTTTTTCCAGTAATTTCTCTTTATGTCTTAAGAGAAAGTTTAGCACACATGTTCATGAATATTGTACAAAAATAGCACTGTAGCTTTTTAAAACAATAAAGACTTTATCAAAAATTAAATCATTATCAGCAGAACCATAGTATGCTTATATAGCTAGTAAAATGAATGAATGGACTAAACCTATATATACAAATTTATCTGAATAAAGCAAGTTTCAGAGAATAGTGCTTAATATACAGTTTGAAAGCATAGGACCTTGTACTAGGGATACATGCACACATAGCAAAGCATAAAACATGACACAGATGGTAACTATTTAATGCCAGATAGTGATTCCTTTTGGACATGGAAGGGGGTAAATGATATACTTTAAGTTATTCCACTTTATTAAATGTATTAAATACTTTAAATGTATTTGTAATTTATAATATCTTTTAAATGACTGGAGATGAAGATGATAAAATGTCAATATTGGAGAAAGCCATTAGGTATAGGTATTATTCTTTAAAGTATTCTGAATGCTTGATGTATTTTGTGATATTTTCAAAAGTGAAATACGTCATCTAAGAAGATGACACACCAAGGGCTGCAGAACTGGATGTTTCTGCTAGCTGGAGGCTGCGACTCTCCTCTCTGCTCTCTGGGAGTTAGGATGAGGTCAAGTCTGTGTGAACACCAGAGCAGCACAACAAAAACCAGCTGGTATGTTTATTTGCTCTCCTTGTGTGCTTTCTTTTCCAGCAAGAATTAAAACTCGTGTTCTGCTTTCCACCCCATGATGTTGCTCATCAGCTGAAGTTATTAAAAGAATAATTCAAGGACTCTGGAAACTCTCCCACATTTCCTTAGAGTGAATCCTGATAAAGGAGTGAAGGTGGTGGTGATGGTGGTTTTCAGTGGAAAGATGAGTGGGATGGAGTTATCAGGAGAGCTTTTGCTTTCTTCTTCTTTTTAAAATATTTTATGCATTTATTTGAAAAGCAGAGTTGAAAGAGAGAGACAGGATCCTCCATCTGCTCATTCACTCTCCAAATGGCCACAATGGCCAGGGTTGGGCTAAGCCAAAGCCAGGAACCAGGAGTTTCTTCCTGGTTTCCCACATGGGTGTAGGAGCCTAAGTACTTGAACAACCTCCTGATGCTTCCCAGGCCCATTAGCAGGGAGCTGGATTGGAAGTACAGCAACTGGGACTCTAACCAATATCTATATGGGATGCCAGTATCACAGGCAGTGGCTCAATCCACTTCATCACAACTCCAGCCATTTTCTTCTTGATTGAAAGGATATATCCTCTTTCTAGATTTTCTGAATTCTTTCTTTCTCATTAACAGGTATATCACAGATTCTCTGCTTTTTAAATTCTTTTTCTTTTACTTACTCATTTTCATTTTATTTAAAAAGTAGAGGGCATGAAAGAGAGACACAGAGAGGCAGAGAGAGATCTTCTATCCACTGATTCACTCTCCAGATGCCTGTAACAGGCAAGACTGGGCCAGGTCAAAGCCAGTAGTCAAGAACTCTACCTGGGTATCTCATGTGGGTAGCAGGGACCCAGTCATCATCTGCTGCCTCCCAGGGTACACAGCAGCGGAAGCTGGATCAGATTAGTCAGGACTCACACCAGGCACTCCCATAGTGTATGCAGGTGTCCTAAGTGATGTCCTAATGGTTGCATTAAATGCCCCCTTATTCTCTCTGTTTTCTAAAGCATAATGTATGGGGCTGGTGCTGTGGCATAGGAGGCTGAGTCGCTGCCTGCAGCTCTGGCAGCCCATATGGGCACCAGTTCAAGTCCCCGCTGCTCTACTTCCAATCCAGCTTCCTGATAATATGCCTGGCAAAGTAGCGGAAGATAGCCCAAGTGCTTGGGCCCCTGCACCCACGTGGGAGACTTGGAAGAAGCTTCTAGCTCCTGGCTTCGATCTGGCCCAGTTCCAGCCATCAAGGCCATTTGGGGAGTGAACCAGAGGGTGGAAGAGCTCTCTCTCTCTCTCTCTCTCTCTCGCTCTGCCTTTCAAATGAAATAAATCTTTTTTTAAAAGCATAATTTAATTTTATCAATAAAGCATTTTTCTACTTTTTTTTTTCAAGTGCTGAGGTGGGTTAAAGAGAGATAGGGAGAAGTCTTCCATCCCCTGGTTCATTTCTCAAAGGTGACCAACAGCCAGGATGGTGCCAGGCTGAAGCTGGGAACTAGGAACTCAGTCCTAGTGGGTGGCAGGGACTCGTGTACTTCCCAGGGTGCATATGAGCAGAAAGTTTGACCAGAGGTGGAGGCAGCACTTGAACTCATGCACTTTCTTTTTTTTTTTTTCTTAAAGATTTATTTATTTTACTTGCAAGTCACAGTTACACAGAGAGAGGAGAGGGAGAGAGAAAGAGAGAGAAAGAGAGGTCTTCCATCCACTGGTTCACTCCCCAGATGGCCACAACAGCTGGAGCTGCGCCGATCCGAAGCCAGGAACCAGGAGCCAGGAGCCAGGAGCCAAGAGCTTCTTCCTGGTCTCCCATGTGGGTGTAGGACCCCAAGGACTTGGGCCATCCTCCACTGCTTTCCCAGGTCATAGCAGAGAGCTGGATCAGAAGTCGAGCAGCTGGGTCTTGGACTGGCACCCACATGGAATGCCGGTACTGCAGGCGGTGGCTTTACCGGCTATGCTGCAGCACTGGGCCCTGAACTCATGCACTTTTATATGGGATGTGGGAATCCCAAGGAGCATCTTAACAAGTGCACCAAATTCCCAGCACTTTCCTTTGTATTTCTACTCTGTATGGAATGACGTCACTCATCTCATGGACCCCTTGGTCCCTCACTTTACCTCTCTTGGCAAATCTTGAGCAAGCTCTGTTCTTACCTCCACTCTCCCCATCTCAGTCTTCTAGACAGCTTTGTTTTTGGAATATTTTCAAAAATGAAATAAATCTGTTAAGAGGATGACACTTTTATCTCATGAACCACTCCCATTTCCTTGGCCCTTCCTTTTTTATTATATGGGTGGGAATAGGACAATTCTTGATTAGGGAAAAACAAAAAATAAAAAACAAACAAAAAAAACCCACAGAACTTTAGTGTTCCTGACTCGAAATCCTCCCAGAACATAATTCACTTCTGCCCAGTTTCCAGATCAAAAATCTTGTCCTTGTTATTTTCAGGCAACTTATCTATGATGTAGTACAAGTAGTGGTTTTTCTATTATACGTGAATCATGCTTCCAATTTATACTTTCTTACATATGTATTTTCAATGACTCTGTATAAAACTCTGAGGCTTGGAGAGATTTAGTCCTTGCAGTTGTCAACTGAAGAAGGCATACTTAAAGGGAAGTTATTAAGAAGCCGGACAGTTAGGAAACAGAATTCCCCAGGTGCCAGGGGTTACAAATCCAGTAGACTCCACTTCCCCGCCTCTACCCCCAAAGAAAGGCTTTTTTGCTTGGCTCCACTTGTGGATTTTCTTGGAGGCAGGTGGTAGGTGATTTGCCTGATACAACAAAGGTTGGCTCCAATAACTGAAATTCAATACACGCAGAGTCTGGGAGAGAACACAGGGGCTTGATACCTTCCTGGAAAGAGACAGGAAACAACCAGAGGGGGAAAGGACAGAAGAAGAGTGGGACAGGGAAAGAGAGTAAGTGACAGAGAGGAGAAACATGTGAAATAATTTGCCTTCAGGAAAAATTGATATATGAAAAATTTTACTTGAAGATGAGAAAAATAACAAAATAATTATTTGCATTACAAATTAACTCTTCACTTCAAAAGAATATTTACCACAGGTGTGAGTCTATGATGTGAGAAAAGAAGATGACGTGGAAGAGGTGGGAGGCTTAAACAATAAAATCCTACTGAACTACAAGGGGAACACATTCCAATGAAAGAAGGGAAGACAGCTACAGAAGGAGGTGGCTGTACAGGGATCTCTGTGAAGAGCTCAGGCTTTTACAAGGTCATGAACAAAAGGCAGAGGGAGGGCATCATAGACAAACAACAGACTATCATGAACCTACTAGAGAGCAGAATAAAAGAGGTCAAAGTCAGGAATGAGCTGAGTCCTACAAAAAGCTGCTTTATTTAGAGTAATTAGCAGAAACACAGAGCAACTTGCTCTTAGAGTAAGCAGGGTTGTGTTATGTTAACAGAAGCAGCTCTCGCTTTTTTCCTTTTGTTTATTTTGCTTCTGTCTTCTCCGAGGTGCAAAGAATACGGCCATGTGTTGCACCATGGCACTTCAGTGGCTCTGTGATGGGCTGCATGTATAATGGCAGTCCTCTAAGATTGTATTGCCTAGGGACATGGTAGCCATCTTAGTTTATGTCAATACACTCTATGGTGTCTGTACAATGATAAAATCGCCTAACTGCACTTCTCAGGACATGCCCCTGTCACTAAGTAACACAATGTTGTAGTTTTAACAAAGTGGATGAAATGGTACTTCTCTTAGAGAGACGGTGTCTCTGTGTGGAAGGAGCATGTTGACGTTAGCCCAGCTGGGAAAATGATGAAGGCATCAAAGATGGAGACTTGGGAGCTCCCAGACTAAACTTCGGGAAAGTTGGTGAGGAGCAAATATAGAACAGAGACGAAACCAGGGAGACAGTGATCTTTAACCTTCTATCTCCTTCCCTGCTCTGCTCAAATCTGAGATAATTCTATTAAACACACTCTCTGGTGTTGCACAATGAAAAAATCTACCAAATTCTACTAGAACTTCCAAATTGCTTGGTGTGAGTGTATTTCTTACAGAAACAGAAGATGAAACTCAGCATGGCTCCCTTGGGGACCTTAAGAAAATGAAAGTCAATTTTCAGATAGAGAAGTTAGATAAAGGGGACACAAGGATATACTGTTTTCAATTTGGAAAGGAAGGTGCAATGAGAATTAAAGTCCTATGTAAGTGAGACAATAAGAAAACATGGAACTTCTCTAAGTAGATTTAAGTTCTACAGGTAGAGGAATTAAATGCTAGGTCATTAAAATAGTGTGCAGTGTAGAATGGTTCTTACAGCATTACTATCAATAATCCATTGGAAATTATAGTAAACAGAAAAGCTGCCTGAAGCCTGGAGGCCTTTCACAAAGGGGAACGGACCAGATTCCACCCACCGGAGAACAGTAAGCAAACCTTGACACCCATTACACCGCAAGTGATTGGTTTAAGACTAAGTCAATCACCTGGCCAGGATGCATTGCTACTGTGATTAATCCTGGTAAATAAGACAAAAAGGGAAGTCTGTTGGGAGGAGGAACAGCAAAGAAATGACATTAGAAGGGGAGTGCTTCTGCTGCTGCTGGGCGTTGTGTGGCACATGACTTCTGGACCTGTTCCCTCATTACTTTGTGCCCATGAAGTTTGGGGGTGAAGAACCAACTAGAAAGCAAAACAACCCTCTGAGGCTAGTAGACAGGGGAGGTAGAATGGGCCTGAATGCACGATGACATTGCTAAACCATGGGTCTGCCAGCCTAAGCCCGTACTTTCTATAACTTCTTCATAAGCAATAATAAATGTCCTTGTTACTTAACACAATTTAAGTCAGTGTTTTTTGCTATTTGGGTCAAAGACATTCTAAATAACACATTGGTATATTTTGAACTCACCAAAATATTTCCTGGATCTCTTCATATTGTCCTTGATGTGAAACAAACTTGTAGTCCAGAAAATAATAACCTTACAAGTATTTGTGGAGAGGTGAAAGAATGAGAAAATCCTGTGCAACTTCTACAAATATCAGATGATTTTTTGAGGACTCAAGACTCAATGTTTTATCAATAATATGATAACATTTCCTTAAATGTCTTTTTACATTTGGAGATAATTCAACTCTCAAGGAATTCTAAGACAATAGATATCAGCATTAAAATTCAAAGAGATCTTGCAGGCTAGAATGCTAGGGTAAAAACCAATAAGTTGAACAGAAGACAATAGATGCAATATTGTCTTCAAAACTTACTTCAGAAGTTCAAGATAAGTAAGAACTGGCTTAATAGAACCTCAGTGGAAAACATGTGAAAACTCTGGTTGAACACACATAGTGGATACTCTGGTCCACTGAATTGTCTTCAGAACTAAGGCAACAATTTCCCTAGCTGTGGGAAGAATTGATGGCTAATGACTGATGACTGTCAGCCAAGTTCCTTTCCAGAACTGGGCCTCAGCTGAAGGCAGCCAATACCTCGAGGTTGTACCCCTCTGCCTGGAGACAGCTGCTTTTCATAATTGATCCATATGGGCATAGAAAAGCCTGAATCATATGCCTACCATCAGGAAAAGCTGAAGGGCCATCCCAGGTCCAGAGCCCTGCCTAGGTCATGCCTCCTTTCCAGAGGAGGCCCCTCCAATAATGCACCTCCTCCTCCAGAGCTCCCTGCGGGATTTCCTGAGTTCTTCGTGTGACTCTATACGTGTAGATTCCTTGGGCGTTTCCCGTTAAACATATACCTTCTGAATGCAAATCTCCTTCTCAGAGTATCAGTATGAACCCTAAAAGATCAGTGCAATCTAAATTGGGTCATTAAGCTATGAGGAATAATGGATCCATGGAACTCTGAACTGGTTAAATATTTAGAGAATGATGTTCTATTTGAAGTCCTGTAATTTAAGAGAAACTAACAACATGGCTTCATGCTGAGGAAAGCAACCAAGATGGATAGTGTGAGAAAAAAAAATGTTACTAGATGCAATAAAGGAACTGAAACTTTAGAGAACTGTCTCAATCCCACAAAGACTATCATGGGGAAGAAGGAACAGAGATTTCTGTGCTGAGAAAAGAATAGGAACCAAGATAAAAATTTATAAAGAGATATATTTTGACTTAATAGAGGGAAGAATTTTCTAAAGGCCAATCTGTCGCTTGTCTTGGGAATAATGAACTAGCTCCTTAATGGGGCTAGATGATTGTGGGTCAGAGATGTTTGAGTGAGAATCTCTGTAATGACTAGAGGCCTGAGCTAGAGTCCTTTCAAACTGTCATATCCCATGATTATAGGTTGTGATTAATTACAAGCTTTTTAAAGGTCTTTTATTTGGAATCTTACAGAATCTGGTCAAACATAATGCAGGACTCAGTTCTACCAATTTTTCTTCAAGCAAAAAATATCCTCCACCACTTTCAGTGGCTCTGGAGAGCTACTGCATAGAACTGAATAAATATGTGGTATTCTCTCACAGCTTTCCCAAAGTCAGGTGAGTTTTCTGTTGAATTCCTTTGTAAGGCACAGAGAAGCAAGAGGTTGTCTTTGAACAGCTTTGACTTTTATTAATAAACACATTTATAGGTTTTTAGGGCTTGGAGCTAATTTATCTGTCTAAAATTATTTTTCACCTGTCTTGTCATAGCTTTATGAATCCAGACCTGACATTTTCACGGATAGGAAAGTTGAGCTCCAGGAAATGTACACACTTGACCCAGGCCACTAAAGGGATTACTGTCGCTCCCCGTCTTCGTGGAGGAACGACACAGGACCCTGCGCTGTTCTTTTGTCTGCTCGGCCCTCCCCGGGTTTGCTGCTGGTTCTTCCCGGGTTGGCTGCCATCCCTTCCACCTCCGTGGAAGGGCGGTTCCTCCTGGCCACTTTCCCCACTTCCGCGGGGGAGCGGCACACCGCTGGCCGGCTCTCTCGGGGGCTGCACAGGTGTTCCTTCAGATAGATGTTCCCCTTAGATGTTCCTGGTGCATGTTGTCTCTCTCCTCCTTTATAGTCCTCTTCCACCAATCCCAACTCTGCTACCCACACGCCGAGTACGCTGCTCTCCTCCAATCAGGAGCAAGATCAGCTCCTGCAGCTCAATCAAATTGGCGAGAGGCAGCTGTGTAGAAGTTGTTACTCCCTTCTCAGCGCCATATTGTGGGAGAGCAGATGCATAGAATAAGTCTTAATTCCAGTAACTTAGTCTAGTCCAAGTTGCACCCCACAGATTACATACCAAGGCTGGAATGGGACCTCTTTCATTCTGAATGACATAGCTTTGGTGTATTTCCCCAACTCATCCAAGTTCAAAGTCCTCTTGCTTTCCATCTCTTATGGGTCGAATTGTGTTTCCCCAGAAATACGTTGTAGTTCTAATCACTACATACCTATAAATACGATCCTATGTTGAAATAGGATTGTTGCAAAGGTAATCAAGTTAAGATTGAGTAATATTGGATTAAGGTAAGCCCTAATCTAGTGATTTATAAAAAGAGGGAAATTTGCATGTGGATACACAGGATGAAACACCTGTGCAGCTGGAGGCAGGCATGGGAGCTATGCTAGCAAAAGCTAAGGAGCACCAAGGATTGCCAGCATCTACCACATGCTAGGAAGAGGCAAAGAAGAATCATCCCTCAGAGTCTGCAAAGAGAGTACGAAGCAGACGCCTTGATTTTAGACTTCTAGCCTCTAGAACCAGAGACAGTCCAGTTGTTTCTGTTGTTTTAACCACTCAGCTCTTGTGCTTGTTGAAATGGACACACCCAACCAAGGCATTTCTCCCAAGTGGGGAGAGATGGAGTTAGAGGAACGGGTGAAAGTCTCACACATTACGAGGGTCCGTGTCAGAAGTCTTGAGGAATAGACGTATTCTGCTCCTAATCTGATGGTCAGGAGAGGAACAAAGGATCCAAAGGAGCCTTTAGCAAACAAGGGTCTTCCGGCATCAGCCTGGGTGTTAGAGCATAACATCTATGGGCATTTGACTGTGTGGGCAGGAAAGGGTGCCCTGTTCATTTGTCTCACAATCAGACAACAAAGTAAACCAAGTATTCTGGGCGTATTTAGAGAATAAAAGCCAAGAGAACAATCAGATTTTTTGAGAGAGGTTGAAAAGAATGTGCCAGATATTTTGAGAAAGAGGTTTTGAGTGGGCTCTAATCCAGCTAGGTATGATAGAAACAGTTGCTTGGTGGGAAAATAATCCTGCCAATGACAATAATAACATCTTATATTTGTTAGAGCTTTACCATTGACAAATCACTTCTGCTATGGTTTGAATTCATGCTGAAACTTAATTCTCTGGGGGCCGGTGCTGTGGTGTAGCAGGTTAACACCCTGGCCTGAAGCGCTGGCATCTCATATGGGCACCAGTTCAAGACCTGGCTGCTTCACTTTCGATCCAGCTCTCTGCTATGGCCTGGGAAAGCAGTAGAAGATGGGCCAAGTCCTTGGGCCCCTGCACCAATGTGGGAGACTTGGAAGAAGCTCCTGGCTCCTGGCTTCGCATTGGCACAGCTTCGACTGTTGTGGCCAATTGGGGAGTGAACCAGCAGATGGAAGACCTTTCTCTCTCGCTCTGCCTCTCCTCTCTCTGTGTAACTCTGACTTTCAAATAAATAAATAAATCTTTATTAAAAGAAAAAAGAAACTTAATTCTCTGGGACTGGCATGGTGACACAGGGGTAAAGCTGCCACCTGCAACTCCCATATGCATCCCATATGGGCGCCGGTTCAAGTCCAGGCTGCTCCACATCAGATCCACCTTCCTGCTAATGCACTGAGAAAAACAGTGGAAGATAGCCCAAGTGCAACACCCACATGGGAGACCTGAATGAAACTCCTGGCTCCTGGCTTGGGGCTGGACCAGCCTGGCTGTTGTGGTCATCTGGGGAGTAAAGCAGCAGATGGAGGCTCTCTCTCTCTGTAACTCTGGCTTTCAAATAAATAAATACTTCTTTAAAAAAAACAAACCCTTAATTCTCAATACAACAAGATAAGAGGTGAAGCCTTTAGGAGATGATTAGGCCACCAAGGTTCTGCTCTCATGGATGAGATTAATGTCATACAGAAGAGCCGGAGGAACTACCCAGGCCTTTTGCCCTTTTGCCCTTTGACCCTTCCACCATGTGAAGACACAGTGTTCAATCTCTCTGAAGGACACAGCAACAAGGTATCAACTTAGAAGCAGAGACTGGGGCCTCACCAGACACTGAACCTACTAGCCCCTTGATTTTGGACTTCTCAGCCTCCATAACTAAAAGGAAATAAATTTACATTATTTATAAGTTACCCAATCTTGGAATGGGCATTGTGTTACAGCTGGTTAAGCAACTGTCTAGCGTGCCTGTATCCCACATGAGAGTGCCTAGGATTGAGTCTTGCCTCTGCTTCCAATCCAGTTTCCTACTAATGAGCACCCTGGGAAACAGTGATGCTGGTTCAAGTAGTTGGCTTCCTTGCCAACCATGTGAGACATGCTGATGGAATTTCTTGCTCTTGGCTTTGGCTGGACCCCAGCCCTAGCTCTTGTGAGCATTTGGGAAATGAGTGTGCAGATGGAAGTGGTTCCTCTCTCTCTCTCTCTCTCTCTCTCTCCTTCTCTTCCTCCTCCTCCCTCTCTTTCTCTCTCTTCCTCTGACTTTCAAAGGAATATAAATTAATACATAAATATAAATTACCCAGTCTATGGTATTTTGTCATAGCAGCAGGACTGGACTAAAACAGCTTGCAATGCATGATTTTATCTAATTTTCAAATGGTCTAATAGGGGAAGCCAGGCTTTCAGGTTCCTGTTTTACTTGTGAGGATACTGAAGTTCAATGAGGTTAAACCACTTTCCCAAGGTCTTGTATGCTGGCACTTGAACTCCAGCCTTTGACTTAGTTCCATCCACTGTCTTTCACATAAGGTGGTTGGGGCCTCCTTGAGTTAGCCCTGCTCACTCTGTGGGGCACATTCATCCTCAGGGAACTCCAGCCACCATTCCTCTGCCCTTAGTACCCAGAGGAGGGACTAGACGCATAGCAACAGAGATGGGGTGGTTAATTGAGGTGACGAGGATGGAGCAAGAAGTCCCAGGTCTTAGGCTGGACATGAACTCTCAGGGTCCACTCCTGCCAGTGTGTGCTACAGAGCTGTGCTGACACTGGCCTCACCCGCATGTCAGGAGGTAGTCATGGCAACTCACTCCATTTCTAAGCTGATAAGTACACAATTAGGTAGAAAGGAAGAATCAAGTTAATAGCCTGTCATCCCCTCTCTGCTATCTGTGTATTGATTCAAATTAAGGTTTTTCAGTTTTCTAAGGTCAGCCAGATACCAAAGGATCAGAGTACAGGCCTGGGAGTTAGCACTTACAGGAAACAGCCAGTTCTGAGTGAATCTCTTAACCTTTCTTTCTCTCTCTGTTTACTTCTGACCCAAGCATTCAGAAAAACAAATCTCTTTGCCTGACGTCCTTTGATATCTGACCCAAAGTCTGTAACCTGCCTTAATTCTAACTGTTTCTGACTCTATATCCATTCAATTAGCCATTCTATCTCTGAGAGAAAAGAGTGAAAAATTCCAATTAAATTTTGCATTTGCTGAAATGCAGCGTAGCTCAGAGAAGCAGTTAACTAAATTAGTGTGTGTGTGTGGGTGGGGGGGCACCTGCATGTGTGCATGCCCACGGGGAGGGCAGGGAAGGCAAGAACTAGAGGGCGTCTGCTTCTAGAGAAATGTCCCTGTCAGCTCAGCTGGCGCCTGAGCAGAGCTGGAGGAGGTCTTCCGCAGCCAGGACCTGTCCTTCCTGTCTGAGCCCCACGGTTCTTCAATACCGCCAGATGGAATCATTTGAAATTCCTCGCGTGGTCCTTGTTTTCATCTTTAGCTCTTCAGAGTTCTTCTCTGTCTCGAACAACCTTCCCACTTTTGAAAGATGTTTCAGATCTAATATACTTGTCCAGAAATCACTCTTAAGGTTGAAAACAAAGAACTCCCAGACACTAGGACGTTCGTCATCACCATACATGTAAATTCTACCTCCTTATATGACCACAAACTACCAGAGGCAAGGACCATTTCTTCCTCCATCATATTGCCCAACACCAACCACAGGGGGAAAAAAAAAAAAAACCTGGCACATATAAAGTGATTAATCAGTCTTTGTTGGATAAGTGATTGATTTAGTAAATGAATCATGATTGGAGTATTAGAGAATGATTTTCTGGAAGAAGGAAATATTTACTTAAGGTATAGCATTGAATATTGATGGTAATCTATTTGGGTGTCCATACTATTTGCATTTTATACAAACAGCGTGGGCACCTGTGAGGCCTATTTGGGTTCCAGAGCAGAGACTGCCCCCAAGAACCCTGCTATGCTTTATTCAGGGAAATAACCCTGCATGCAAGCTGGCTCTGAAGGTGGCAAGCCTTGAGGTTAAGTGTATCGGCTTGTTATGGGAACTGTAGAGGTCAAGAAGGTAGAATGAAGGATCTCAGAGTGACACGTGAGAACTTTGTGCCATTTAGCTCAGTAGGTTATGGTACAAGCAATGCTGGATCCTGAGACAAAAGGCACAGTGAGTGCTTGGGAGGTATGTTTCAGAATTCCTCTAGGAGGCTCTTGGGGGATCAGAGGAAAATTCTGTGAAGGAAATATTGTTTAACAATTAAGGATAATAACATTATCTATGGAAGAAATAGCTCTCAGTTTAATGGTGCAGGTGACAGTATGACTTTCACCTTGTATCTATGTGGACTTCATGGTTTTTATAGGGTATGGGTAAATAAAGGAATGCTGAGCTAGGATTCAGGACATATGAATGTTTGTCTGTCATTAACCAAAGGGTGGTTGACTGGTCTGGACCTCAGTTCTGTTTCCTGTAAATGAAAGGGAGGGTAAAACCCCAGACTCTGTAACGACTGCTTTGCGATTGTGTATTTTTTTAAAAAAGATTTATTTATTTATTTGAAAGGCAGAGTTGCAGAAAGGGAGAGGCAGAGGTAGAGCAAGAGAGAGAAAGAGAGAGGTCTTCCACCTGCTGGTTCACTCCCCAAATGACTGCAATGGCTGGAGCTGGGCCAATCCAAAGCCAGGAGCATGGAGCTTCTTCTGGGTCTCCCACCAGGTATAAGGACCCAAGGACTTGGGCCATCTTCTGCTTCTTTCTCAGGGCATAGCAGAGAGCTTGATCAGAAGTGGAGCAGCCGGGTCTTGAGCCAGCGCCCACATAGGATGCCCCCGCTGCAGACTGCAGCTTTACCCACTATGCCACAGTGCTGGCCCCTGCTCTGTGAGTCTATAAAGGTAAATATGGATTTCTCATGTTACTGTTTTATAAAGTAAACATGGAAGGAGATTGAGATTGATGCTTTGAACTGGATTCTTAGGAATGTCGGGGTGCAGGCAGATGGGGAAGGATGAGTTTCCCCCAGGAATTGCTGTTCAGTATTTTTCTTCCAGGCTCTTCCTCTCTTCCCTCTTGCCTCTCTGGTAAGAGGCAGTGTGCCGTAGCAGCTAATTGCATGAGCTTGTCAATTGTATATACTCGAATCCTAGCTCTCCTACTTATTGGCTGTGTGTGACCTGACAAATTTCTTAGCCTCTCCTGCCTCAGTTTCCTCATCTATAAAATGGAAAAATCTTATCTAAGGTTTCCGTAAGTGTTGAATACTTGATATAAAGAAACGATACAAAATATTGACTACCATTCTTCCTCATAAATATACTAATACTAATGCTATTCATGTTTCTACCTTTAGAACTTCGATTTTTATATGGAATTCTATGATTGTTTATCCAACTATGTCACCAGTTTTCTATTATTTTTAATGCAAAAGCTAGGAATCATGTATTTTTACTTTTGCACCTTTTGTCTCAGGATCCAGCTTTGCTTGCACCATAAACCCACTGAGCTAAATGGCACAAGGTACAAGAACTAGTGAGCAGGTAGAATTTTCCTGCCAACTTACAATGTCAGTATTATTATAGATAATAGCATTTTTAAAATGCTGGCATTAAAAGCATTCAGAATTAACAAGTAACTAGCTCACTAGAGGTGTATATATATGTGTATATATATGTCTTAATATATACTTAAGGGTTAGAGAAGTAGAGGTAGGGTGAGGGAGGCCTTGCGTTCCTATGCAGTCCTGTGTACTCTAAGTTTTAACAGCAGCGTGGCAGGCATCTATCAAGTCTATATACTAACAATCCTTAAAGGCAAATTTTCTGAAGTTCACGATGACATTTCCTAAATTATCCATAAATTTTATCTTGAATCTGCAATCAATAGAAAATAGCTTCTGTAAATGAGAGGGTAAATGGTGAGAATACTTACGTTTCTCCTAAATGCAATTTCAAATGACATTTACAAATTATTCCTATTAAATCTTTCATCTCAGCTGTAGGGGTATGATGTTTAGGATCTTCACTAGTGCTTTACAAAGACTGTCCATATGCTGGCCTTGGATAGCCAGGCTGCCCGGCGCCCTCAGTTCTGAGGCCCAGGGACAGTCCACGTGAGTCCCTGCCACCCTTGGACAAGTACATGGGCAAACAGAGGAGCAGGAAGGGAGCTCCTTGATTCAGGAACTGTCATACTCATTGTTGTACATCCAGAACATGGACAGGCAAATGGCACCCTGCAGACTTTTACTACTTAGTGAGATGCAGGGTCTGAAACTATTGCTAAGCACAGACACCCCAGTAGGAAACTTCGTGGGTTGGGACTTGCCCTTTCCTCTTCAGTTGACTTTCCTGTCTGCAAAAACTCTAGAACCTGGA